TTTTTTTGCATCCACATCTCCATTGAGAGGTAAGAAGTTATATTTTCCAAGCCAGACAGAATTATATGTAGGAACCAAGGAACTATTTCAGCTAGGTGCATTTTTAATAATTATGTGTAATTTTATTTATTATTTATTTATATTATTTACTTACTATATTTCTATCCAACCCTATCTCACCCGAAGGGGACTCAGAGCAGCTTACAGTATGACAATATGCAATGCCACATAAACAAAGCCAATATATAATACAATACAATTACATTGGCAATAAGACATATAAATACAATAAATACAATTAAAACTGTTAAAAACTGTTAAAAAACATAACACCTAGTCTGGAAGCTATCATTCCTGCTCCTACTACTTTTATAACACTGAGCCTCATGTCAGGTTGACTGTCTGTAACTGGTAAAAACCAAGGAATACTGTGTAACCAATAGGCTAATCTGGATATACCTTTAGTCCCTGTAGCTAGAGAGGAGTCCTAACCTTTGCCTTATCGGCTTATGCCTAAAAAAGCACCACTCCCTTTGTAGTAGAATGAACCAGTCACTTTGAAGCTGTTATTCAAAGGCTGTGCCTTGAGAACGCACCAGCGTGGCTTTGATTTGCAGCTGCTTTTATGGCCATTATAAAAACAGATGTGAACTCAAAGAACTATAAAATACCAGGCAGCATCCTGCATTGTATGAGGGACCTGCCAAGCCATTTACAGCTTCTGGAAAAAACAGTAGTGTGTGTGTGATGTTCCATTCAACATGCCCCCATCCCCCACCCCACCCCCATCCCACCCCAACCAAAAGATAGCAACTATCCTTTTTTTAAAAAAAAAATATCATAAAGCACTATACCAAGCAAAATGACAATACTCCTTTATCCCCTTTTATTCCTCCATCCCCAGCAATTAATTCAAAAACAACAAAAAGGGAAAGAAAGGGAAAATAAAAACCTAATATAAAATATAAAACTGAAGTAAAATGGTCCTTGATAGGATAGTAAAGGTAAAGGTTTCCCTTGACATTAAGTCCAGTCGTGTCTGACACTGTGGGTTGGTGCTCATCTCCATTTCTAAGCCAAAGAGCCAACTTTGTCTGAAGACACCTCCAAGGTCATGTAGCCAGCATGACTTCATGGAGTACGATTACCTTAAGCAGATGATAATAGAATTGATTGGGATGAGATGAAGTACAGAAACTTCATCTTTTAAAAATGATAACATATAAGAGGGAAACTGGGTGATCTGGATGATGTGTAAAAGGGGGGGGGGGATAATAATTAAGATATGGGTTTCAGAAAAGAAAGTTGTGTGTGTACCAAAGGAAAAGAGTGCAGCTTAGGTACACAGAGAGAAAAAGAATTAAAAGAAAATAAGTAAAGGTAAAGGTTTCCCTTGATAGTAAATCTAGTAGTGTCCGACTCTGGGTGGCGGTGCTCATCTCCGTTTCTAAGCCGAAGAGCCAGCATTGTCCTTAGACACCTCCTAGCTCATGTGGCTAGCATGACTTCAATGCCTTAAAAACAATATACATCCAATATACAATTAAATAAACATTTCAGAATGTCCCAGAGAATGTCATCACTGTCAGACATCTGGCTATAGGGACATAACCAAATGCTTCTCAAACATTCTCTGATTGTGTTGGTGGTGTGGAGCATGCTAAGGCATGATCACAACTGAATTACATATAATTGGACTTGACATCTGCATAACTCTATAACAAGATGTCAGCTAATATTCTGACAGCTCTAGTGCCCAAACCCACTCCTAATTAAAGAACTCCATAAAATTTATTGGATTGAATCACTTTCATATTTCACAGTAATGACTATATTTTTGTAACAATCAAATTATTATCTGTGTATTTTAAGAGTCACTAAATCTTTTAATTGTATGAGATGGGGGCTCCATGCAAACTGCTAAACATGTCAGCTTATGCAAAATTAAATAGGAGATAAAACTAAGAAAAGACATATGTGATTGGTGAAAATGGCTGAGATATGTTTTAAAGCCAATTAATAGCTCTGCCTAGAACAGACCTATTGAACTAATAGGATTTATATACTTGCCAAGTCAGTAACACTTAGCAGTTGATTCAGTGAGTGCATTTTGTTTGATTCAATCAACATACATTATTTGGGACTAGCAAATGGATTTAGACAAATGAATGCACAAAAACTAAAGTAAAAAAACTAGATTATGAAATCAAAGTAAGCAGGACATGGAGTTACATCCCCATCACCAGCATATGGGCGATGTGCTAGCTTAAGGTGCTGTTGAAAATTATAATCTCCTCCAGAAAAAGTGATGGGAAAAATACTTGTAAGATTTCCTAGAGCAGCATTTCTCTCTGGGAACTGAAGTCCAAAACACCTGGAGGAGCAGAGTTTGAGAAATACTGTCCTCGAACAATTGATTGGAAATAGGGAGAACATGATGTCATGGAAAACACCCCTGCATTGCATCCACTGCATGTATGTAACAGTATTCTATTAAAATCATTTAAAAATGTCTCAGAACTATGGCCAAAATCAAGTTATCAGTCTCAGTGAGGGAAAATCTGTCCAGTCAGTTGCTTGCAGGTAATGCATCCATGTAATAACAAACCAGAATGGCATTGGAGATACGGCAGCTACTAAGAGCTTCTGAAAACCCAGCAAAACTTACTTTTGATTCTCAGTACACTTTAAAGCTGTTTCAGTCAAAATCCATCATATTTACCTCTGAATAAATGAGCATGAGAAGATACATTTTGCTAAAAGTTAGTGAAACAATGGACATTTGCACATTTTGCATTCTACAGATTATACTCTGAATGGCAGTATTTTAAACTTAGAATTAATGCTTTACTTCACTACAATGAACAGACTTTATTCACTTTTTTTGAGATTTTCCTATATAAACACATCAGTCTGACTTATACTTGGCCTGTTTAGTTTACTACAGATATGGACAATTTGGGATCCTCCTGGTTTGGGGTAATGGAAGTTCAACATCCAGAGGACAACGACTTGCCCACTCTTGGTCTACCTAGTAGACTCTACTGTGATGGGTCATCCAAGGCCACAAGGAGTCCTTGCTGTCTGAGAGCTGGAAGGGTTCAGGGGCTGAAAATGTTACCTTTCACACATTTTAAGCATGTGTTCAACTGCTGATCTATGAAGTCCTCCACTAATGGACTTCACCTGTGTTATACTCCATCCCTCTTTCAGCAGAACTTGGAAACATTACTATTTTGGACTTAACCCCCAGTCATCAGAGTGGCTGAGGGATTCTGAGAGTTGTTGTTCAAAATGGTAGTTTTTCAGGGATTGGATAAAGGTTGGAATGAAGAAGGAAATTATTATGGAAGAATTTAGAGAATTAAAATTGACATGGTTCCATTGTATACAATTAGAACAATGATTTAAAAATTAGGAAAAAATTAACAAAAACGGAAGTAAGCTTAACAAATTTGAACAAATAATACAAAATGGAAGGGTTATAGAGGAGCATGAAAATTTGAAAGGAATAACTAGTAAAGTATATAAGATAATAATTGAAATAAAGGAAGGAAAAACAAAAAAACATCCTCAAGGAGATCTGGGAAGAAGATTTAGGGATAAAAATAAATGAAACAGAATGGCAACAATTATGGAGACAAAGACATCTAAAAATCTTATCAATACGGGTTAAATAAAATTATTACAAGTTAATATGAAAATGGTACCTAACACCAGTAAGAATAGCAAATATAAATAAAAACTATTCAAAAAAATTGCTGGAGAGGATGTCAAGAATCAGGAGCATATATACATATGTGGTGGCAATGTAAATATGTAAATAAATTTTGGGGGAAGGTATTTAGAGAAATAGAAGATATAATGAGCATTAAAATAGAAAGAAGTCCTAGTATAGCTTTATTATCATTATATAATAATAAACAATTGAAAAAAGAGGATAAAGATGCGATAACAAATTTATTAACAATAGCAAGACTGCTTATAGCAAGGAATTGGAAAAGAAATAAATATACAAATAGAGGAGTGGTATAAGGAAGTATGGAAATTGGCAATAAATGATAAGCTGACATGTATATTAAAAGTTAAAAGAGGTATATGGAAACAAAGTGATTTTGATGATGTATGGAGAAAATTTATTGAAAAAGGATTAAAAAACAAAGAAGGAAAGCTACCTCCACAAGAAGAATTGAAATTTTTGACAGATTACATGTAAAAGCTGTGGCTTGAGAGAGGGGTGGGGAGCACAGTGGTGAGAGATAGAAAATATGTATAAGCAGAAAAATAACACTAGATGCCAAAGTTAAAGTATGGTAGGTTGTATTGAATAATATGTATCTGCTGCAAAACAAACAATATATAGAATCATGATAAAATAATAAAAATGGTAATTTTTCCTTGCTCAACCCTTAATTCAGTGCTTTGATTGTGTATTTGTGCATGGCAATGATTTTGACTTGATGGCTCATGTGGTTCCTTTCAACACTATAATTCTATCATTATATAAATTTTCTTAAAGAACTCAGAGATGACCAACAGATCCTCCATTGGTCCCAAAGCATTCCCACTCTTTTGAGAATCTTGCACTGCCCATCTCTGGTTCTTGTTTCTCTCACCTATTTGGCAGGTAGCAGGGAAGCAGCCTTTGTCTATGCCATATCCTCTGCTGGAGTTGTCTATGCCATCACCCGAGCTTGCAGCCAAGGCGAGCTCAAGTCCTGCAGCTGTGATCCCCACAAGCGTGGCCGCTATAAGGATGAGTATGACTGGGGTGGCTGCAGTGACAACATCAACTATGGGATCAAATTTGCCAAGGACTTTGTGGATGCCAAAGAGAAAATGGTGAAAGATGCCCGTGCCTTGATGAATATGCATAACAATCACTGTGGTAGACTGGTGAGTACTGTCAACTGTTGAGATAGTGATGGTATTGATAATACATGAGCCATCGCTTGTGTTAGAGTCAGTATTTGTTTGTTTCCTATCGTGCTGGAAAACATCTTACAGTTGAACCTCTTTGCTTTTGTAATAAGCTTTTGTAATAAGGGAAATGCTATCAACTCATGTTCGATCTCTCATAGTTAGTGAGGGCCTTTCCTTTCCAACTGTTTGCCTTGTTCAGTGAGAACATGGTGTTAGTAATATAGGATCGGGGATATGGCTCTGAAGGAGGGAATGAGGGCTTGCCTTTTCTGGAGACCCATGAAATTTTCCTTTAGTTCCCAAATTTCTAGCATTGTGATAACCTGAAACATTAGTTGCCTACATCACTCTTTATGATGTTAGATATTTGAAGACAGAAGGAAAATTTCAATTGGGATGCAGGGTTTTTTGGTTTTTTTACAGGGGAGAAATTTACACACACGCGCACACATACACACACACCATAGTTATATCCCTGGTCAGGACCTAATAGAAACTGTACTTTACTCGGTGACATGATATTTGTTTGCAGAACTACAACTTCCTCTCCTTTGTGCACCATAACATTCTGCTCTGGAGGGTTTTGAATTTACAGTTTTCAGATAGCACAGAAGGATGCTGTGAGAAGGGAGTGTAATGAAAAGTTCTGTTATACTACCAGTCCAGAGCTAGTGCAACATTACCTTTAGCCAAGTGTCTTAAAATGCAGTATACTAGGTCCTTGGGATCTGCACAGATTTGGATACCCAAATCTTTAAATAGCCCATTATACATGATGGCACAGTGAATTGGCTCTTACTTTATTTCTTCTATTTTAAGATGCACTTTTTTCCTATATAAACATCTCTAAAAATGGAAAACATCTTAGAACCATAGGTGTATCTTTTTTGTTACTATTTAGAGAATTTTTACCCTGCTCCTCAATACAGAGGCACTCAAGAGTGGATAATAAATCACTGAAGAAAATTTAAGGGGGTCAAATGATCTCATCATTGGAATATGAGCCCCCGGTGGAGCAATGGGTTAAACCCTTGTGCCGGCAAGACTGAAGACCGACAGGTCGGAGGTTCAAATCCGGGGAGAGTGTGGATGAGTTCCCTCTGTCAGCTCCAGCCCCCATGCGGGGACATGAGAGAAACCTCCCACAAGGATGGTAAAACATCAAAAACATCTGGGCATCCCCTGGGCAACATCCTTGCAGGTAGCCAATTCTTTCACACCAGAAGCGACTTGTAATTTCTCAAGTTGCCTCTGACATGAAAAAAAAAATCAATGTAATGTTGGGAAAAAATGGCAAAGTAATTTTCCAGTAAATAAAATAGACATGCTTCCAATAGGTATACTAGATAACAAAAGTGGACAGATATACAGCAAAGTGATACAAAATTGAAACAAAATGGAATAAGGACAATTGAAGACCTCCTAAATTCAGATTGAACAATTATAGATTGGGAGGTGTGAAAAGAAAAATGTGGACAAAGTAACTGGATTTTATAGAAGGGAATGAAACAGAGGAATATAGAGTGGAAAAGAAAAGAAAGCACAGAAGCAGATTTAGACCAAATTTTAAAATGAAAAACTGAGAAGGAGAAAAGTTTGGTGGGTTTCATATATAGGAAAATAGTAGAAAAACAATATAATTGGAAAGAAACACTGATTGAGTTATGTAAAGAGGAACTTAATAGTAATGAGTAGGACATGGAACACTTGATCTATACAATAAAAAATTAAACACATAAGGATTAAAGAAACACAATGGAAAGTATTGACAAAATGGTGTCGAACCCCAAATCAACTAGAGTATATTACTAAATCCACATCAAAATTATGTTACCACAAATATGGTGGAACAGGTACCTTTATGCATGTGTGGTGGGATTGTGATAAGATACAATGTAAAATAATAAAATAAAGAGTGAGATGAGAGACATTTTAGGACTAAAAGTAGAACTGAGTAAAAAACAAGTTTTTACCCAGAGAATGGAAGTTAAAGGTAGCAATAAAGAATGGACTGATACTGTAAAACATATGATAAAAGCTACTCAAGCAATTGTCGCTCTGGGCTGAAAAGAGCAAATAAAATGAGAAATAAAAAATGGTTTGAATACTGAGCAGATTATAGTGTGCTTTTATGGTCACTTTGCATTTTGTACTGTCCAGTTTAATTGCTATTGCTGAGTTTTTTTATTGAATATCTTATTTAAATTGAGCTGGGTTTTACTTTTGCAAGGGTTGTTTATGTTTTGATATTGTGTTGTTATTAATGTTGATATATTTGACTGTATTTTATGTGTTACAGCACTAATATGTGCTGCCTTGTAAGTTGTCCTGATTCCCTTTGGGAGATGGTGGTGGGATATAAATAAAGTTGATTATTATTATTATTATTATTATTATTATTATTATTATTATTATTTGCTTCAGAACTATATTTATGAAGGAGAATCAAATACACAAATGGTCGTCCTAATGAGAATTGAAACTCGAAATGAAAAACACTGATAGCCAGAGCTAGAGGAAAAAGAAAATATAAGGAACTACAACAGACTTATCTCAATTATCGATAAATTAAAGTAATATTGGAAATAGAGTTACAACTGATCCTGGATGGTGGGAGGTGAAACGGAAAGGGAGGGGGTAAAACTGATTGATATAAATGGTATATGTATGGAAATGAAAAAGTCAAGAGAATAGGCTGTGTCAAAATGAACAAGAATTTAATGAAATTGTTGTTTGTTTATTCCCTCTGACTTTTCAGCAATTGTTAATTATGATTTTTTTTATTTTGTGTCAAAAGCATTGCTCAAATAAATAAGTATAAAACTGATAAAATAAAGGGAGCACAAGCAGCTAAATAACATTAGACCAAAAACAGGCAACAGTGACCGCATTGTCTGTAGTGTTAAACTGTTCTTCCTCTGTGCATGAGGCAGGGCATTGTGGGCAAGCATACAGGTGGTGGGTTGTTTGTTCTGCTCCACAATTGCACAAAGTTGAGGGTTCTTCTAGGTAGTGCCATTTTGCCAAGTTGCCTTTTGATCTGCCAACTCCACTTCTGAGTCTGTTCAGGGACTTCCAAGAACTGTGATATCCTTTAATACATATTTTGAAAAATAAAAACCAAAATATTAATTTGCCCTCAGGGTTACAGTGTACATAAGATCAAATAATTAATAAATATATTACATAAAGCATGATTTTGTTGTGTCTTGCTAGTCCCCCCCCCTCCCCTGCACTCCCTCCAGAGTGACCAGTGGCCAGTTATGTATCTTGTGTATTTTTGTTGTTAGTGGTGGTACTGAAATCATGGTGCGTATTACAATCAATTGTGTTCTACAATCGAAAAAATGTGGCATTTAAATGGTAAAATCCAAAGCTCCTTTCTGGAATTTAAAAAAAAGATATTTTCAAGCCAGAGATGATTTAATTCATGGATACAGAATCCGTGGATGTGAAGGGTTGGCTGTCTAAGTAAGCACAGTTGGGAAACCAACGGCACAGGTTCCCCTGTTTATTTTTCTTCTCTTTGGGGACAAGAAAATGGTCCTTTACACAGCCAGAATAACCCTCTTTACATGCAATCTGTTTTGGTTCTGGCACATTTTTAGAGAGGCTAACATATAAATTCCAATTAGACATGCCTCCTGAGCATTCCTACAGAAAGGCTCCTTCCCTTCATGCAGTGATAGTTACGCTTTCCAGCACAAGCATTTTCCAGGAGGTCATTAAAGGTTACCTGGGTTTGCTTTCAGTTACGAGGAATCTCAGTTCTAATTTACCTGAGAGGAATGTATCACAAAATAGGCATGTTCACTATTGTTCAGAGGTCTGGAAGGTCTTCACTATAACTAGTGAAAATGGTCTAAGCAGAAAATTTCACTACAAGGCAAAAGCTGTCAGAAACAGTAATATCCACATACTCAGTTTTATCATAACACCTTTTGCCCTCACTAGGAGCTTTCCATGTCATTCCTTGATTTGAGACTGGTTCTTCTATTTCCAGGCTGTGAAGCGTTTCATGAAACTGGAGTGCAAGTGTCATGGCGTCAGTGGCTCCTGCACCTTAAGAACATGCTGGTTGGCTATGTCAGACTTCCGCAAAACAGGAGATTACCTTCGGAAAAAATACAATGGTGCCATCCAAGTAACCATGAACCAAGATGGCACTGGATTTACTTTGGCCAACAAGAACTTCCGAAAGCCCACCAAAAATGACCTTGTATATTTTGAGAACTCACCCGATTACTGTGTGATGGACAAGTCTGCAGGTAAAGGAATCTTGTGAAATCCTAACTGTTTACAATAAATGGGTGAAGAAATCTGTGTCCACCCGATGTCAGATTTTAATGTCAATCAACCATGACCACTGGCTGAAATATTGGAGCTGGTGGATCTTAGAGACCAACAACACTGGGGGCTGCATTACATTTCTGCATCCTTTGTCTGCACAGCATAGTAGGGAGGCATCCTCTTCTTCTGCAGTGCTGCCTTCTAGAAAATCCATGCAAAAGGTATTAGCTGAGATATAAATGTGCACTATGGGAAATGTTTTAATTTAATGGTAAGTTTCTGTCCATCATAAGAATGCACGTAATTGAACATATGAAAACAATATTCTATTCTGTGTTTGTGGGACACAAGGCATCTTACAATATAAGATAGAGGATGATGATAGATAGATATATATTTAGATAGAGATGATAGTAAGACTGGAAATTCAGTATGGGACCTATGCCTGCAGAAAACAGAATCTACCTCCGTTTTCTTCTGTAGCCCCCCTCAAAATGTTGGCGATAAGTGGTACAACGTCACTTTTTGTCACTTGGAAGGGATTGTAGAAACAAATAGAGTTATTTTGGCTTATTGTGAGCAGGTAAAGTCCACAAGGAGGATCAGAAGCATTGACTACTAGCTACCTGCACATTAGCGCACTCTACATAAGTGGACACTAGTCAATGTATATAATGTATATAAACATTATAGAATGGCAGCCCATCTAATGCTAAACACAACAAAGGTATTGTTCTCTTTTTCTAGGTTCATTGGGGACAGCGGGACGTGTGTGCAACAAGGTATCCCGAGGGACTGATGGCTGTGAGGTTATGTGCTGTGGCCGAGGTTATGACACCACTCGAAAAACACGAGTCACAAAATGCGAGTGTAAATTCCATTGGTGTTGTGCCGTCCGATGCAAAGAATGTGAAGACACAGTGGATGTTCACACGTGTAAAGCGCCAAAGCGAGCAGAGTGGCTTGACCAAACCTGAGACAATACTGGACAGAGCCAACGAGGGAAAGTAAAACTGACACATTGCCACCCTGCCGGCCTGGGCATTCTGGGAGTTGTAGTTCAACTGCATGGCTTTTATTTATATTATTTCTGCAAAGCATGGAGAAGAAGACTACCTATCCCACCTGGGATAACCTGCTTTTCTGTTCCTCCAGCAGAATTGTTCCCATAAGTTTCAAAAGAGGAAAATGACACTGAACTGCCAAATGACACTGAACTGCAAAAATTTGCTACGCTTGGTGAATTCTGTGTGCAAAAGGGGAGCAGGGGAGAACACAGTTGCACAGAGACTGTGAATCAGGTTATGATTTTGCTGGAGAGTTCTGCTTCTACCTAAATAATATGTCTGGACCGTAAATTATAAAATGCACCCAAAGGTAGGAGAGGGGCAGACCCATATCCACCCTGGAAAAGGAAATTTCCAAAGGAATATCTGAACAATCCTAAGAAAGATCCATTGTCTGCTAAGATCTTCTCTGAACATATTGGTTGAACATGGGTAAATGAATCTTTACCATCTTTCCTCTCTATCTGAAAATGAACTTGGGAGTTACAAATTCAGTAGTCTGCCAAAACTGTTCAATCTGTTTGCAGAGAGGAAGGAGAGCAGAAAGTGATATTTGTGTGTGTCTGTGTATCTCTGCTGGTGTCCATGGACATGCTGGTAGGTTTTAAAAGAAAGTAATATAACAGTGACTTTTTTGTACAAACCCACTTGTACATTGTATACACTGCTTCACATATTTTAAACCCAAAATGCTTCCATATAAATCTGTATCAGATAGTGCTGTTCCTTGCTTTGCGACTGTTGACATTCACAACTCGAATTAGGTGAACACGCAAACATATGTAACCAGTTCATGTCCATAATGTCTGTACAGGTTAAACTAAATTTCTGGAAGCCAAAGGCAGATTCTCAACATTTTGATATTATCCAGATAGTGATTGCTGTTGTTCTCTGCACTTTTGCAACTGTTTCTTTCTTCCCCTTTGCACAATTCTTGTTTCCTCTTTTATGTGATGTCTCCTTCTATAGTCATCCTTTTAATCTTTTGTCTGAACTGAAATGCAGTTCCCAGTGATGGCGTCCAGACAGATTACACAGTTAGCATCCATTGCCATCTGTCCAACTGCCTTTTCCCTCCAAATTCCATTGGGAACAAGCAAAACAAAATCTCTAATGCATCACCCAAAGCATGCGTAAATACTAGGCCATCTTCTCCAATAATCACGTACAGCTTCTGAACCTTGGGGTAATTACTTTTTTGGACCAAAATGTCCTGCTTCTCCCAGCCAACATTTGGAATTCTAGGAATTGCAATAAAAGAAAAAGAAAAAGAACACCTTTTCTGAGCTCTACATTTAACAGTGTTAGACCCTATATGACAGAGAAAGCCAACTGCTGAGCCAAGTACAAAGTGATTCTCTACAATGCACAGCCCCTTCGGTTCATCCAGTATTTGTGTTATCATATAAGTGAACATTTGGGTCTGGGAAAATTGATGTGTAAAAGGGTCCAAATGCTGTTGTAATTGTCAAATGTCCAGCACAATGAAATAAATCAGATAGTATGTAGCCTAATATTGTAGCCTGATATTGGGATTGTAATTTGGTGAGTAGTTCATGCTAGAAAGCTCTAGATCCTTATCTGTAAACTTCAGCACTCCCTGGCTAGAGAATTCTCACTGAACTAGGAGCAATGGATGAGGGTTGTAGGGTTCAATGTTTTTTCAAACATTCTTACCCCAACACCCTCTCCTGCTCACTTGAGGGTACACAGGCAACTTCACAAAATTTTAGTCAATGTCTGGGGCCCTTCCTGTTGGAAAAGCAGCTTCTCTTAGACCTAAAATGAAACCAGGAGCAGAAATATGTCAAAACTGTTCCCCAGTTCCCACACCCATCAGTCATGGAAGTCACAAAACAGCCCTAGGGCTACATGTGGCTATTGAACCATGCTGTTCCTGTTCTGTGGTCTGTATGCTATCTCCAAATTCAACAATATTTCAAAATTCTGCAACAAATGTTTGCCTAGACAAGGCCCAACAGTATGCATAAACCCATGCTAATTGATCCAGTGCCCAGCTACCCAGAAGTACATTCTAATGAATTTGAGGGTCCTGGCACTGAAGTACAGATTAAATGACACTTTTCATTCATAACCCTGGGTTACATCTGAAAGACACATGGCAATCTTTCTGGCATATTCTTTAACACTGTGTGCCAGGTTATGCCTTGGGTTTGGAAGATCTTTGAACCCACAAAGTTCAAATCTAAGTAGAATACTTTCTCCATTATCCTAAGGGAATGGACTGTGTCTTAGATGCAAACTACACATTTTGTATTCAAATAGTCCCTGGTTCAGTCCTCAGCATGTCCAAATACGACTGGGGAAAGCTCCCATCCGAACCCCAGTGATGGTAGATAATACAGAGCTAAACACAGCAATGCTCTGATCCAACTAAAGGTGGCTTTCTATGTTCTGGACTTGGACTTCCAAATTATTATTTACTCTATAGTGTAGGACCACCACAGTGGGATAGGATCATTGCTCTACTTAAATATACAAAATTCACACAAGGCAATAGACCATTAATATCATATGGCAACTACAGAGATCAGCAATGTGTTAGTTTTTAGCTATAACTATCAACTGAGCAATAGGAGCCCCCAATGGCACAATGGGTTAAACCCTTGTGTGGCAGGACTGCTGACTGACAGATCAGCTGTTTGAATCTGGGGCAAGCAGGTTGAGCTCCCTCTGTCAGCTCCCCATGTGGGGACATGAGAGAAGCCTCCCACAAGGATAGTAAAACATCAAACATCCGGGTGTCCCCTGGGCAACGTCCTTGCAGATGGCCAATTCTCTCAAACCAGAAGCAATTTACAGTTCCTCAGGTTGCTCCTGACACACAAAAAAACTGAGAAGTGTGTGACTGTCTACACAAATTCAAAATGTGGTTTCTTACATTCTAGAAGAAAAAGAGTGTATGTGTGATTTTCCAACAGTGTGTGTGTGTGTGTGTGTGTGTGTGCAGGAAACAAAAAAGGCATATAATAAAATGGCGAGTGAAAAGCTGTGCACTTTTTAGGGTGCTGATCACAGCAGTCCCAAGTTCTCACTGCTTCAATACAGGGAAACCAGAATTATTTGATAAGCTCTTGCCAGCTGATAGTGATTAAATTGCAAGGCTACATAAAGCAGACTCGCCTAAATTGCACTCACACCTTGAAAATACCCTTTTAATGGTGAAATAAAACTGGATCATCATTAGATCACCACTTTATCAAATGTTTTGCTGAAAGACTGCCAAGGTTTATTGTGTTTCTGAATAGATACATTCACAAGAATGGAATAAGTCTAAGAAATATAGAGAACCAATGACCCCCAGCTTTTCCATTGTCTAGTTGGGAAAAGAACACAGACCTAAGAACATGGTTCTCAGCTTCCATGGTAACAAGCAGCTCAACTTTGAAACTTTCCCACCTTCACAAGAAGGTCATCTCTGTCTGTCTCTCTGTTTTTATTGTATTGGCACAGTTTGCTACTGGCTTAAAGAAGCTTTAATGAGGGAGCTCTTCAGTATCAGGCAATAGGGAGGATGGGGAGTTGGGATGAGAGCAGTGTAAAATACATGCGATGTCAGATTTTTGGTTGATAAACGCAAAAGCCCTTCTCCGTCCTCGCCATCTGTTATGACTCTCAATGAATAAGTCATATATTATTTCTCCATAAAACTTTTCCCTGCTTTTGTTATTGTTTTCATTGAATTCTGTTGTGTACTCCTGCATTCCAAATCAGACACTTGAATTACTTCTGAAAAATTTGCTTTTGTCTGATTAGCCTACATTTCTTATTGACCTGATAACACAATGTAATTAGCACTTGGAATGCCCCAAAACAGTGGTTCTCAACCTGTGGGTCCCTAGGTGTTTTGGCCTACAACTCCTTGAAATCCCAGCCAGCTTACCAGCTGTTAAGATTTATAGGAGTTGGAGGCCAAAATATCTGGAGAACCACAGGTCGGGAACCACTGCCCTAAAACATGTCACATGTATTTTTTCAATCTTACAAGCAGCTCCATAAGATTGGTCATTATTATTTCCATAGTGCTCGTCAGGATCTCAGGCTGAAAGAATGGTTCGCCTAAGGCAAGATGAGAAATATATGCCCCTCTAAATACTGGTCTGTAACATTGGTTACCCTGGCTACTAGGGCTACTGGCCAATGCAGTCCAGCATTATCTGGAGGATTTCATGATTCCCACAACTCGCCTAAGGTCACCTACCAGGTTCAAGACAGTGGTAAGAGCTGGGCTTTCCTTAAACTTTCAGATCCAGAGCTCAGCCTCTTCACATGCCTTTTTATTATATTTTAAAGAAAGATGCAAATTATGCTTTACATTACAGCTGAAACTGTGTTTCCATTACAGTTGCTTCAACTGGTATTACAAAACTTAAAAGCAGTTATTAATATTTATGCCAATGTTATATTTAAGCTGACAAAAATAATAAATGGTCACAACATGTTAAAACCACTTCTGATGTCTTTGGTTTTCTCCCTGAAATGTATGGCTTTGGTAAATTTTAGAATTTTGGGAACACATCAGGTTAAAGTAATTCACAACAGTAAGTCCTTGGTTGTTGTTTCAGGACCTCCTACGGATATATATATATATAAAAACACAGATGACCAAGTACCACTATGTACAATGGTATAATAAAATGGTGTCCATGGTTTTTTTAAATGGCAAAATCAAGGTTTGATTTCTGGATTTTAAAAAGTATTTGTGGCTTAAACAAAATATTTTCAAGCTGTGGATAGTTGACTCTGAGGATACAGAATCCATGAATATGGAAGGCCAACTATAAAAATGCATTTTTCACACTTCATCTGGATTTTTTCCTGTTACAACTTTTGGAGCAGATCAGAAGTTGGGATTAACTATTTCTCTTCATCTCATATTTGCTTTCAACAAAAAAGAGAAACATCTACTAATTATCCATATAGCTGCAAATTATGATAGCATTGTATTACCTCCAGAATTGGAAAAGCGGTATGTGGTAGTATTCAGGGAAGAATATTGTGGCCATGTTGTGCTTATGAGTTTCCCATGGGCATCCTATTGGCCACTCTGAGAAACAGGATGTTTGGTCCGAGTCATTCCTTTCACAATCTTAATCTGAAATTATTGACACTGCAAACAGTTCCGCCACATGTGGTTGAAGCTCACAAAAGGATGGTCTCAGGTCCAAAAATGTATCTTTATTAATTTTGTGAGGGATAATACCAATCACACAGAGGATTTCCCCTCTCGCTGAGATGAACGGCAGCAGAACTGCCTCATCAACAAAAGCTTTTGCATCAGTCATCATCATCTATGGCACGTTCAGATATCTACTTACATTCTGATTCAAAATTACCTTTTTAGTGCTATGGAAATTGTAGTTTAGTGATGCAGCAGCATTCTTTGACAATGAAAGCTTAAAATCTTAGAGAGCTACAACTCCCATGGTTCCATAGCATTGAGCCATGGCAGTTAAAGTGGTATCAAAGGCATTAATTATATAGTCTAAACGCACGCAGTTATCTTAAAGAAGGAAAATAGTTTTCTTCCCTTCTATTATCCTATATTTTCCTGCTTTCTATCAGTCTCTTTATTTCTTGAATGAGTATGATTTTGCTTTCCATCTTCCATCTTCCATTTTTCCTTTTTTTTTTTTTTTTTTTTTTTTGCAGTTGGGGAAAAAAAATAGGAAGTGTTCACAGG